AAGACGGATGGATGGATGGATAGATAGAGATGGATGAATAGATAGATGGATGGATGGATGGATGGATTAGATAGGTGACTCATTTCCCTCTAGGAGCAGGTGACAAGAATTATGTACGCCTAAGTATATGGAGATTCTCAGTCATCCAGGTCATGGTTGTCCCAAAGGTGCTTTTTCAAGAGACAACTGGACCGTTTTGTTTTTGTTAAAAAAACGTTTTGCTTCTCATCCAAGAAAACTTCTCCAGCTCTGAGAGAGAGAAACGTCTTCAAAGAAAACAAGAAAGTCCAGTTGCCTCCTGAAAAAACCACCTTTGGGTAGGCCTTAGTGGTGCCACACCAAACAATTTTTAATTCATTAATTTTAGTGCCTCATATGGGGAAAAGGGGTTGGGCTTTTACTATTTTAATTAATGATGATATTTGCTGCTTGTGCTATCTTTAATTTTGCGGGGTTCTGTGAAGGCCATGAGGTTTCATGCGGTGGACCAATCTCATAAAAAAAGGGTCTTCTTGAATCATTTTGGTGCCAATGACATTCTGAGTTCTTTTAAATGCACAGAAAATAAGGAGCAGCCATATTTTAATGAGCCACAATGTGCTGAAGAAACATTTGTTCTCTTTTTGCTGTCGCAGCTATGTTTGGGAACATTTGGAAGTAGGATACGTCCAAGGAATGTGTGACCTTCTGGCTCCTCTCCTGGTTATACTTGACAAAGGTAAGAAATCCCATGGTTGCTTTTTCTAGCTTGTGTGTCAGAGCGTTTGCAGCGTGACTGCTATTATGAGACAACCCAGGAGCAAAACACAGCACACATAACAGATAATAGATAATCAGAGTTGGCAGGGACCTTGTAGGTCATCTAGTCCAACCCCCCACCCTACACCATTTCTGACAAATGGCAGTCCAATCTCAGCCTCCAGTGATGGCGCTCCCACAACTTCCGAAGGCAAGCTGTTCTATTGGTGATTGTTCTCACTGTCAGAAAGTTTCTCCTTATTTCTAGGTTGAATCCCTCTTTGATCAGTTTCCATCCATTATTCCTTGTCTGGCCTCCAGGTGTTTTAGAAAATAGCTTGACCCCTTCCTCCTCTCTGTGGCAGCCCCTCAAATATTGGAAGACTGCTATTATGTCCCCCCTGTTCCATTTCTTTACTAAACTAGCCATGCCCAGTTCCTGTAACCATTCTTCATATGTTTTAGTCTCCAGTCCCCTAATCATCTTGGTTGCTCTTATCTGCACTTTTTCTAGAGTCGCATCTTTTTTATAGTGTGGTGACCAAAACTGGATGCAGTATTTTTAGATGTGGTCTTACTAAGGCTTTATAGAATGGTATCAGTACTTCACTTGATCTTGATTGTATCCCTCTGTTAATGTAGTTTAGGATTGCATTAGCTTTTTTGGCTGCATAGAGCACACAGAGACTTATACATTTAACAGTGGTTTATCTACAACAGATATATACAGAAAATACACGCGGTAGGCAAAATACCTTTCAAGCAAACTTCTTCTGAACTACACGGAGAACTCTGCAATGAATACTGGACACAATATATCTTTGGTTATTTGGGTTTTCTCCCGCGTAAAATTGGAAGTATCTAGGCCAACCCCCCACCCAATCAAGTCACACACCCCACTAGCAGTTAAAAGGAAGAAGCAGCTGCAAGCTCACATTACTCCGAGAAGCACAAAGCTGAAGACACAAGCCTGAAGATGATGTATGAGACTTCATTGAAACGTCGCCTAGATACTTCCAATTTTATGCGGAAGAAAACCCAAATAACCAAAGATCCACATACAAATACCCGCGAAAACCTCAGAAAAGATAGATAGATAGATATAGATATAGAGATATACCTACCTACCTACCTACCTCTTAAAGGGATAGAAGCCATCCCCAATGTTAAAGGGAAATACCCATGCCATGCTGAATCACCTTCGTTGCATCAGCCACATCTGGCAGCTATTACTGCTGATGGTCGGCTTTTAAATCTTAGTATTTCAACATTGTGCAGCCCTTAGTGTTTACATAGACTTTATGTTTTTATGTCAGCCTGTCCGTAATATCATATACATATACAAACAACCTTCTCATTTCTCAGTACATCCTGAAATCACGGGAGATGTATCTGTGGGCTCAGAAGAACTGTAAATTTACAAAACCCTAGGCAGAAAAACTGGGCCAGCCTCCCACTTTTAAAAGGAGCCCCAGGTGGACTGAGCATGCTCAGTGGATAGGTCAGGACGATGATTTAAGAGCTGACCAGCTGCTATGATGATGTAATGCTGGGAATGAGTCAGCAAGGGTTTGGGGCACTTTAAGAGCCTGTAATAAAAAGAGGCCCTCTTGGGGCGTATCTCTCTCTCCCTGTGTGCTTCCGTGCTATAATTGTCGATTGCTGTTTGTTTTGAGGTCTGACTAAAGTATCTGTAAGTCTGTATATATTCTTTGTAGATAAAACCACTATTTAAAATACAAACGTCTGTTTACTGTATTTGCTCCTGGATTGTCTCACATAGTCACCCTGTGTGCACTCTGACAGGGTACATCATATTGATTACTAGAGAGAAAGAAGGAACGATGGGTGATGAATATACAATCATAGAGCTGGAAGGGACCTCTGAAGTCTTCTAGTCCAGCCCCCTCTCAAGGCAAGAGACTTTAATACCATTCGGGTCAAATGGTTGTCCGGTCTATTTTGGAAAACCTCCAGTGATGGAGCACCCACCACTCTGGGAGGCAACCTATTCCATTGATTTATTTTTTCTTAAATAATTTAAGATGGGTTGTAAATAGGCTCCCTTAATATTACAATTTATCTATAGGCTGTCACACTTTCCTTCCTACCCTAATACAGTACTAAATCGATAATCTGAAATCTATCACTAGAGATTTTCCTTGGGCTTCAACTTCTCTCAGGCCGATCCCGACCCCCCCCCACATCACTCTCTCCTAAATCCCCCCTCCCTCTGCAAGTTCATCTGAGAAGGAAGCACGTTGCATTGACCTGCTTTGATTGATTGATTGATTGATTGAGAGTTCTAACTAACATCCATTCATCTGATCAAAGAGAATATTTGTAGCTCAGGGTTGAATTCCGGGATCCTTGGTGCTCTGGCAGCCATTTCATTACCAAACTAGGTAACCTGATCAGTGCTAGTTTAGTAATGAACTGGCCAATCCACCAACCTGAAGCCTTCCAAACCCATTGGCATTGGCTCCCAGAAATCTTCAAATGATTGCATGTCATTTTCAGTATGAGCAAAAAGGAAACTATAAAACATGGGATGATGTGATTACTTTCCACTTGCAGTACAGGGCGTCCTTGACTTACGACCACAACTGAGCCCCAACATTTCTGTTGCTAAGGGAGACATTTGTTAAATGACTTTTGGCCCCTTTTACAGCCTTTCTTGTCACTGTCGTTGAGTGAATCCCTGCAGTTCCAAACCCTGGAACAGCCTGCCCTTGGAAGTTGTGGGAGTGCCATCAGTTGAAACTTTCAAGAAGAGATTGGACTGCCATTTGTCAGAAATGGTGTAGGGTCTCCCGCTTGGGTGGGGGGGGGTTGGACTAGATGACCTACAAGGTCCCTTCCAACTCTGATGATCTGTAATCAGTTGTTAAATTAGTAACCTGGTTGTTAAGTGAACCTGGCTTCCCCATTGACTTCGCTTGTTGGAAGGTCTCATGACTCCAGGACAGCGCAACGGTCATAAATATGAGTCAGTTGAAAAGCGCCTGAATTTTAATCACATGACCCTGGGGATGCCGCAAAGGTTGTGTGAAAAAAGGTCATCGGTCATTTTTTTCAGGGCCATTATAACTTTGAACGGTCGTTAAGCAAACTGTTGTAAGTTGAGACTACCTGTAATAATTAATAGCAATGTTCTAGTATTTGAGGGACTGCCACAATGAAGAGGGGGTCAAATTATTCTCCAAAGCATCAGAGGGCAGGATAAGAAACAATGGATGGAAGCTAATCAAGGAGTGAAGCAACCTGGAATTAAGCAGAAACTTCCTAACAGGGAGGACAATTAACCAGTGGAACAGCTTCCCACCAGACATCGTGGGCGCACCATCACTGGAGGTTTTTAAGAAGAGACTAGAGACAGTCACTTATCTGAAATAGTATAGGTTCTCCTGCTTGAGCAGGGGGCTGGACTAGAAGACCTCCAAGGTCCCTTCCAGCTCATTCTACTCTATTCTATTCTATTCTATTCTATTCTATTCTAATCTAATCTAATCTAATCTAATCTAATCTAATCTAATGTTCTGGTTCCTTCCATTATGATTTGGAGTGTTGTCCTCAGCATGCTACTTCAAGACTGGCCTGGAACAGTTTCCTCCTTTGTGTTGTTCAATGTCCTGGGCGCTGCTTGCTGGTTAAAAAGCAGATAATAAATATTGGTTTCTTTATGCAACTATTGAGAATCGATGGAGCTAACGCCTTCCTTTGCCTGGTTTTAGATGAGCTGGCTTACAGCTGCTTTACTCATCTCATGAAGCGAATGAGCCAAAATTTCCCCAACGGAGGTGCCATGGACACACATTTTGCAAACATGAGGTCTCTTATCCAGGTGGGTTTTATCTCGGCATGTGTATTTAAAAGATTTTTTTTTTAGCTCTTCTTGTCATCTTTCAGAAGCTCGGAATTTTAGCCAAGCCTCAAAGCAATACAAAAGTAAAGAATAAAACCAAATACATCACAGGATGCTTTGATTGTCGGGCAGATAGAAGTTATTGCAATCGTAATAAAATGTGTAACTGCAATAATATCTTTCCCCCACCCAGAAAAAGGACAAGGTCAACAATAAATCAACTGTTCCTCACACTTTATGCCCATTAAATGCTTTGGTAAATAATATCTGGATTCTGAGCCACACATACCATTCCCCACCCCCCAAAATAAGACCTACTCAGAAAATAAGTCCTAACTTGATTTTTACATGTGCGCCCAATATAAGCCCTACCCGCCAAAATAAGCCCTAATTAAGACCCTGCCCACTCCAGGGTGCATAGGTAAACATTAAGCTATAGTGGGGATGAGGGGGTGGAGCTTCCTTGCTACTTACCTTCAGACAGTTTCAGCCAGTCTCGCACACCTTGGCCCATTTCTTCTGCAGCTGGCAAGTCTTTCCTGAAGGCCTCTGAAGCCAATAACAGAGCTCCGGGCTTTAGAGGCCTTGCTGGATGAAGAAATGGGCCGAGGTGTGCGAGGCCTGGCTGCAACTATCCAAATAAGTTTTTGAAGGCCTCTGACAGTGAAAAGAAGGGCGGGGACAATGCGCATAAGTGAGGTGGTCAGTAGATGACATCCCCCTTGAAAATAAGACCTGGTGCCTTTTTTTGGTGGCAGAAAAAATACAAGACAGGGTCTTATTTTCAGGAAAACACAGTAGCTTGTTTCTTTCTGCTGTAATGGGAAGCAGAACGGACCATATGTTACTCTTATCTACTAGAACAGGGGTCTCCAAATCCTGGCAACTTTTAAGACTTATGGACTTCAACTCTCAGAATTCCTCAGCTGGCTGGGGAATTCTGGGAGTTGAAGTCCACAAGTCTTAAAGTTGCCAAGTTTGGAGATCCCTGTACCAGAAGATGTGGGAAGAGGAGAAAGGAGGTTCCCAGCAAAATTCCCTTTAAGTCAGGAGTTTATAGTTGACTAACTTGAAAACCTTAGATTGGAAAAGGGTTAGGGTTACAACCGTTGGAGCATCCCCATTTCCACATGATCAAAATTCAGGACAGCTGGTTCATATTTATGATGGTTTCAGTGTCCTGGGGCATCACGAGATCGGCTTTTGTGACCTCCTGACAAGCTAAGTCAATGGGGGGAATCCAGATTCGCTTAACAAACATTACTAACATGACAAATACAATGATTTGCTTAACAACTGGGGCAAGAAATGTCGTACAATTGGACAAAACTTGCTACCTGTACTTAACTCTGAGCAGCTAACAATAATTAAGAATAGAATATAGATCCATCCTCTTTTCTAGAACTCCAGGTGTCACACCTAATGCAGTGGCGGCCTCTTTTCTCCCCAACAACAAACCCGTGGGGTGAGTTGGTCTGGGAGAGAGGAAGGGACTGGTCCATAATCACCCTGCCAACCTTTATACCCAGAGGAAGACTACAACCCACATTCATCCAGTGTCTAGTCCAACGCCTCGACCACAGCACCTTTAATAATAAACACCTTTAATGATTAGCCCATTTAATTTAAACCAATTAAAGGCAGATATGAACTGGTAATCCTCATGATCACAATAGGAAGCAGAAATTCTACTCCCTATTAAGTGAATAGCACCTGATTTTACACTCTTTTTTTGCCATGGTTGTTAAGCAAATCACTGCAGTTGTTAAATGAATCACAGGGTTGTTAAGTGAATCCAGCTCCCACCATTGTCTTTACTTGTCAGAAGTCATCTGGGAAGGTTGCAAATGGAGATCACATGACTCTGCGACAGTACAACCAAGTGCGTGAATTTTGATCGCTACGAGCTTGAGGATGCTCTATCAGTCATAAGTGTGAAACCTAGGCATAAGTAACTTTTTCTTTCAGCGCCGTTGTAACTTTCAGCGGTCACTAAATGAATGGTTACAAGTCGAGGACTACCAGTACTGATTTTCCTAGTACCATACGGCATTTCCATCTCTTCCCCCTTAATCGGAATTCTTGCAGGAGGTTAAAAAAAAAAAAGATGGGACAATATGGGAGAAGGAGGATGACTGAAGGAAAGAGAGCATTCTAGACTCTTCATAAAATTGCATTTGGCATGATTGCGTATACCAAAAAATGTATAAGTACCTCACAGCGTGTATTATTTTTTTTTCTGTGTGTGTCAAAAAAGATTTTAGATTCTGAGCTCTTTGAATTGATGCACCAGAATGGAGATTATACGCACTTCTATTTCTGCTACCGGTGGTTCCTGCTAGATTTTAAAAGAGGTAAGGAATTTTTTTTCCTAGGTGTGATGACCCAGGCCGTGGCACAAAAATAACAAAGTCACAAAAATGGGTAAATTCCCTTTAATACCTCCGACTTGGCCCCCAATGTCCAGTTATCCTTGGCTGGAGATCAAACTCTTCCAAAAACAGTCTACAAAGTGAAGAAATGCAGTCCGAACCCAAAGTACAGATAAATTAGAAATAAAAAAACCAACACAAACCATGCTGAAGTAATTAACACAACAAGCCAGGATAATAAATTGCAGACTTCCAAAAGATAATGAAGCATGCACCAAAACCCAGATAAGCCTTGACAAAAATAATGCATGCTTTGCTTCCAGCTGCAACTAATGCACGCTGTTCTCCCAGCTGCAACTAATGAAAGGGGTCAAGGCCTTTTTCTCTCCCATAAGCCATGTTGCTCCCTTCTCCGTTCCTCCCAGTGTGCCCTAGGATGAAGAGGGGGTGGCCCTGAGTCTTCCTCTGAATGCACAGCCGGACTGTGCCCTTCCCCCGTTTTTTCCACAGCCACCGGAGCCACACTCCCACTCCACTCCACCAAGGGCATGACGTAGGGCACTGACTAGAATTGCCCCATGATGGCTGGGGAATTCTGGGAGTTGAAGTCCACAAAATCTTAAAACTTGCCATTTTAGAGACACTATGGGGAGAAGTCTTTTCGTCCATGTTGATTGTGATGCGCTGAAGTAATTCCATGCTCTTTCTAATGTCTGTTCCATTCAGAATTGTTGTACGAGGATGTATTTACAGTGTGGGAAGTTATCTGGGCAGCGAAGCACATCTCTTCCGAACATTTTGTCCTTTTCATTGCCTTAGCACTGGTGGAGTCTTATCGAGAGATTATCCGCGATAACAACATGGACTTCACTGACATCATCAAGTTTTTTAACGGTAAAGAAATAAGAACAGAACAAGATTCTGTCCATTTTTTATTTGCGAGGGGGTTCATTCCCCATTTGCAGATAGTCCTCGACTTATTTGCTTAGTCACTGTTCAAAATTACAATGTTGCTGAAAAAGTGACTTATGGTCAGTTTTCAATACTTACAACTGTTGCAGTATTCCCATGGCCACATGCTCACAATTTGGGCGCCTGGCAACCGACGTATTTATGACAGTTGCAATGTCCTAAGAACAAGTGATAATTTGTAACCTTCCCAGTTGGCTTTTGAAAGCATCTGGGGAAAACTAGATTTGCTTAACGTCCGCATGTTTCACTTACTAACTGACATTTATGCTGAAATGTAGGAGATAGAAGGAACAGTGGCAGATAGTCCTCAATTTACGACCACAATTGGTCCAGATTGCTAAGGAAGACAGTTGTTGAGTAGCAATCCATTTTACGTATTTTTTTTGCCTGCTTGTAAGCAAATCACTGCACTTAAATTAATCAGGCCTTTGTTGAACAAATCCAGTTTCCCTCATTGTTCAAAGGCTGCTGTGAAGGTTGCAAATGGTGATCACATGACCCTGGGTACCACAACCAAAAATACATATTTTTCCACTGATTATTCTCACTTTTAGGAAGTTTCTCTATAATACCAGGTTGCTTCTCTCCTTGGTTAGTTTCCATCCATTATTTCTTGCCTTGCCTTCTGGTGCTTTGGAAAATAAGTTGACCCGCTCCACTTTGTGGCAGCAGCCTCTGAAATACTGGAACACTGCTATCATGTCCACCTTCTTTCCTCTAAACTAGCTATATCCAATTCTTGCAACCGTTCTTCATATTTTTTTGTCTTCAGGCCTTTAATCATCTTAGTTGCTCTTCTCTGTATTTTTTCCAAAGTGTCAACATCTTTTTTGTAATGTGAGCAAAACAGGATAGAATTCTTTATTGGCCAAGTGTGATTGGACACACAAGGAATTTGTCTTGGTGAAATGCTCTCAGTATACATAAAAGAAAAAAGACATTCGTCAAGAGTCTAGAATCATAAGGTACAACACTTAATGATAGTCATAGGGTACAATAAGCATTCAAGTCATACTAGGAAACAGTCAATATAGATCGTAAGGATACAAGCAACAAAGCTACAGTCATAACTGGGAGGGAATGGATGATAAAGAGTGATGAGAAGATTAACAGTAATAATAGTGTACACTTTGTAAATAGTTGGACAGTGTTGAGGAAATTATTTGTTTAGCAGAGTGATGGCATTCAGGAAAAAACTGTTCTTGTGTCTAGTTGTTCTGGTGTGCAGTGCTCTATAGCGTCGGAGTTGAAACAGTTTATGTCTGGGATGTGAGGGGGTCTGTAAATATTTTCACAGCCCTCTTTTTGACTCCTGCAGGTCTTCGATAGAAGGCAAGTTGGTAGTAATTGTTTTTTCTGCAGTCCTAATTATCCTCTGAAGTCTGTGTCTGTCCTGTTGGGTTGCAGAACCAAACCAGACAATTATAGAAGTGCAGATGATAGACTCAATAATCCCTCTGGATTAAACTGGATGCGGTATTCCATGTGTAGTCTTACTAAAGTTTTATGCTCCAAAATACTTCACATTTTGATTCTATCCCTTATACAACCAAGGATTGTATTCATTTTTCTGGCTGCCGCCGGATACTATTGACTCATATTTAAGTGATTGTCCACTAGGACTCTAAGGCCCCTCTCACAGTTACTGTTTTTGGGTTGGATTTCACCTAATCTGTTCTTGTTCCTTTTAACTGTAAAACATTGCTTCAAAAGGGTTGAATAGAATTTCTGGTGGGAGGTCTTCTTAAACCAGCAATATTCAGCCCCCTTCATGATCTGATAAAAATGTGGACAGTGGCTGAGATTGGTCAAGTTTCTGTCCCTTATCAAAATTTAAATGCACATTGGATGAGCCTTAAGATAATCTTGTAGCCTTTGCTGTTGCTAATCTTTTCCCCAATGCCTTTGCTATTTTGTGTGCAGAGATGGCCGAACATCACAATGCCCAGGAGATTCTGAAGATAGCAAGAGATTTAGTCTGCAAGGTCCAGACGCTGATTGAGAATAAATGAAAGTCGGAGCTGCTGGGAGAATGTGAAGATTTAGCATCACTGCAAAAAGCTTTTGAAAGGGGGAGGGAGGGGAGAGGGGATTTTCCTGCACTTGTCACTTCAAACAATGTTTTAACAGCATCTTCCATGTAATGAAGTAAACATTCAAGAGATTTCTAAGCCTTTAACAAGCAAGGAAAAAAAATATATAAAGCTGAGTTTTGAGTGTGCACAAACAAGTCCTCATTCTTGGACTCATTTCAGGGCCAAAAAATTATTCTTGTGTATGTTTTAATTCTCCCATTTGTTCCAGTTTTGTCGTGTTCGAAATTGCCTCTTGCCCTGGGGTTGGTAAGCAAGTGTGTAGAGCAAAAAGAACGAGTTCTTCCAAATTTGACCATTGCTATAATTTTGCAAAATGATTGTCTAGGTTTCCAAAGGAAGCTCTTCAGTTGACTATAGGAAGGATATCCTGTAGATTTGCCCAAAATTGTACCAGATTTAGGAGTAAGGAACCCCCTACTCTTATCAAGCTAGTAGCTCACAGCTTGAAAAAAAACTTGCTAGATTGAGATTGCTCTGTTTGTATATTTGATCAGTCATTCCAAAGCTGAGTTCCAGCAGTGACTGATCAAAAAGTGGGGAACGGGAAAACCCTTGTATGTTTCTGCACAATCTTGAGGGCTAGAGTCTTGATTTTTTGCTAGGAATCCAAAAGAAAGTTGAATTAGCTGGATTTGGGAGACCGGTCGCTCTATAGTGCCCATTGGAGGATGCCCCTGTCTGTTTTTCATTTTGTTTTGTGAATCTGTCCCCATGGAAAAATTTTTATGCATCCAGCATGTCTTTATTTATCCACTTGCCTTTAACCAAGTCTGTATTTGTGGCTACACTCCCAACAGCTTCCAAGCTGAAGCGACAGCCACGGAAAGGGGAGTTTGACATAGCTCTAAAGTGCCAACAACTTCTGTCCAATGTAATAACTCTTTTGTTGTTTCTTTCCTTGGAATGCAAAAAACAAGTATTTTTTTGGTGGTGGTAGTGGCATGCACGCACGCACGCACGCAGTCCCTTGGCCCTGCTCGTTTTATTTTTGTGTGTGTGTGCAAAGTGTTTGACCCATGCATGGTTCTGCTGGACAGTTTCATGGCAGAGGAAAATGCTTTCTCCTTTGTGCATATTTTCTTTGGATCAGGGGTCTCCAACCTTGGCAACTTTAAGACGTGTGGACTTCAACTCCCAGAATCCCTCAGCCAGCTGGCAAAGTTGGAGACCCTTGCTCTGGATAGCAAAGTGAAGTCTTAACCCTCTCCCAGCCACCCTTATTATTGAGGGATCAATGTTTTAAACGAGGAAAACTCTGCACTACTTTTTTGGAGAATGTATCATATGGTACACTTTACTATATAAAGACAAAAACAAAACAAAAAAAAGAACACCTCACAACCAAACAAAAAATAATTTAACTGTGCAAACTTTGTTGTACTGTTTATTATAATGTTCCGCATAATGGTATTTTATGAATATTGTGTATTTGCCTTATTTATTTTTGTCCAGAGCAAAAATATTTTCTTTATTGCTCAAGAATTTATCTCAAGTGCAAACATATGTATAAAGAAGAAGAAAAAATACATATTGTCAACAAAACTTTTTTTAATGGCTATGCAGTGCTCTTTGTTTCCTGTTTGATTCAGAAAGAAAACAACCAGCAGAGTGTCAGGTTGTCGTAAGTCTGCCAATCATAAGTCAGTATCTCCAGAAAAACAGGTCAACAGATAAAGGATCAAAGATTTCTGTAATATTCAGTACAAATCCAGATCAATTGAAAGATTAAGGTTCCTGTATTTTACAGAACACAAGAACCTACCTATCTTGTCACCAGGCTTGATCCTAGACCACACAGCTGCCCAGAATTTTGAGGAAAACTTATTCAGGTGGTTCCAACTTTTTTTTCCTTTTCTAATTATTTTTTCAACCATTTTTTAAAAAATAAAAAATAAATCAAATAATAAACTGCTTTCTTGTAAATGCAATCAGGTATTGCAGGATCAAAAGATGCTGAGATACATTCTAAATCTTTCACAAGCAAGAAAAGGTGGCTACTTTTTGAGTGCACAAACAAATCCTCATTCTGGATTATATTTTGGGGCCAAAAAAATCACCCATGTGTTTTCAGAGACATCAATTTGGTGAAACAGTTTGGTGTGGTGGTTAAGGCAGGTTAAGTCTCAAACTTGGTTAATTTAAGCTGCCTGAACTTCAGTTCCCAGAATTCCCCAGCCAGCCATGATGGCTGAGGAATTCTGGGAGTTGAAGTCCACACATCTTAAAATTGCCAAAGTTGAGAAACTTTAGATTAAGGAACTGGTTTAGAAACCAGGAGTCTGTGATTTCTAGACTTGCCTTAGACATGGAAGCCACTTGGGTGACTTTGGGGCCAATCACTCCATCTCAGCCCAATCCCCCTCACAGAGAGAATTAACGAAGTTGGAAGGGTCCTTGCAGGTCTTCTAGTCCAACCTTTTACTGTAGATCTAGGAGGAGGTCCTATACAATAAAGGACAAGTGGCTGTCCAGTCTCTTTTTAAAATCCTTCAGTGTTGGAGCATCAACAACTTCTGGAGGCAACAAGTGGTTGTTGGGGAGAGCATAGGAAGCAGAAGGATTAGGTTATGCCTTCAGGCTTGAATTATAATCAAGGCAGGATAAAAATACAATGTTGTGGGGGCAGTTGGCAGCCCCCCCCCCCCATCCAGATATAGAATGCAAAGTACAAGCCATGATCGGTGGTCTGCTCATTTCAGGCTAGGCTTGGGATAAACCACATTTGCCAATTATCCACACTCGCTGATAATTCAGGTGGATGTTCCTAACGCCCTCAATCAGCAAACTCAAATGATGAAGAGCCTCCAGCACTCTCCAAGTAGGTATATCCTAAGATGGACACTAGTATCTCTCCACCCCCTAAAAGCCTCATCTGTCCAATGAGGGCATTGCGCTGGAAGGCTGAGATGGAGGGACTCAGAACAGGTTTTCTGTAGGAGCGGCACAGATCAGTAGCTCAACTGTTGGCTGAGAAAAAGGGAGTCCGTTGGAAAACCCTGTTGTTGAGTTACCTCAATGCACGCCAGCCCCTTTAAATGTCAGCGGAAGGTGGCAGGCTATTCTCTTGCAAACGCAGTAATTGAGGGGGATTTTTTAAAATCAGAGTTTCAACCAGCCCTGGTCTCTCTTTTAGGCAAACGTATTTCAGAACGTTCCACTTTTCCAGCCCATTCGCATAGCCAGAAAGCATCAACACTTGTATTTTGCATTGCCAAATTGGGCTATATGCACCTCAAGATTCTTAAAAATGTAGCAGGGGCTTTGTGGTCCCAACTGAGCCAGAGTCTTGGGATTAAGGATAAAAAGGCCTTTCTTAGGAAATAACTTTACAACTGTGCCAGTATCCAAAGCTGATGCAGTCTTATCTCTGGATGTGGGTGCTGTTTTATGTAAGAACCTTCTCTTTTAAAGAATTTCCTAGGACACCCCAAAATATTCAACTAGGCAGGAAGTCAAATGAGAGATATTTAAATACAGGGAGTCCTTGTTTAGCAACCACAATCGGAGCTTACAATTTGATTGTTATGTGAAGCACTAAGTGAAATGGTGACTGTGCTTGCCTGTTTACAGGCCTACGAAGGTCATAAAAACAAGGATTGGAAAGTTACCTTTTCATCCCTGGTGGAACCGTGAATAGCAATAGCACTTAAGACTTATTTAGTGCTTTACAGCGATTTACAGCCCTGACCAAGTGGTTTACAGAGTCAGCATATTGCCCCAACAATATGGGTCCTCATTTTTACGCACCTCAGAAGGATGGAAGGCAGAGTCAACCTTGAGCCTGGTGAGATTCGAACTGCCAAATTGCAAGCAGCTGGCAGTCAGCAGAAGTAGCCTGCAGTACTGCATTCTTAACCACTGCGCCACCGTGGCTCTTGAATGGTCACTAAATGAGGCAGTCGCTAAGCATAGACTACCTGTGTGTTAGAATCCTATGCATTTGTCATAAGTGTCATTCATTCATTCAGACTCTAGCTTCTAGGAACATTTTCCCAAAACAAAAAGAAACATTTTCTAACATGGATTATTAGTGTTTCACTGCCTGGGAACCTGCTAGTTAAAACAGAAGAAAAAGGAATTGCAGCACTCTTCTGTCGTAATTAGGTCAGCCATGCTAAGCACACTTAAAATTTGAAAAAGCCACTTTGGATACAGCAATGGATTCCACCAGAAACTCCTGCTTACTGGAGCCCATGACAGATTCAGTATAGCACCTAAAATGCAGAATGATTGAGATTGACCAGTCTGCTGGATTTATTCTTGGCATTGTTAAACTACAAGTCAACAAGAAAACAGACCCAAACTATGTAAAAACACAGGCAAACCAATTGAATCCTTTAGGCTGGGTTCACACATCATCCGTAAGAGCCCCTTTGGTTTTGCAAGCTACATTTGAGTCCCACAAACCCAACCCTCCTATACCACAATTGAAGCATGTGGAATAAATGCAATTGTTACATCTTTCATCAAGACTGTGGTGTGAATGCTGCTGTTAGGGGGTTTATCAACTGAAACTAAATACATATGTGTTGGGCACCTTAGTATTTTTTTTTTCATCCAGAATGAATGCAATGGTCAGCACTAGCTTATGGCAAGAGATGATTGGTCCCGAAAGATGGGAATTATAAATTTTCACCCATCTCAAAACAGATGATAAAAGTTTTCCTGTCTCTTTTACCTAGTCTGTGTTACTTTTGCCTCAGCAATACAATTCTAGGCAGGCCAAAGGGATATAGTTCTGGGGTAGGCTTAGTAGCAGAGGATCGGTTAAAATAGGCGATCTCTGGCTGTTAGCTTTTGGTGGCTTTCATTTTGATTAGAAAGAACCCTATCTAAAATCTCAAAGAATTAATGTCAGCATAATCCTGGGTACTGGCAAGCAGCTTAGTCAAGCATGAAAATAAGTTTTTCTCCCCTTTTTCTATCAAGCACAGCTAATTCACAGAGGAATTTCTCTCCTAGGCAAACCATGGAAAGTATGCACATAACAGCCTCTTCTCAGTTGCTTGTTTAACGCTACAGCATAGTTTATTTTAATCACGGTTTACTGAATTAACCAAATCACTTTGATCCACCCAAGTGTACTTCAAAGTTCTCCAGCTGGGTTGATGCAACCCAGAACTGCCAATGAGCTAACAGTAATTTTGCTTGATAAAATCCAGCAGTGTGCTTTGCATGCTACTCTGAACATTTCACTTCCCTGAACATCTAACAAGAAATAAAATGTGCAAGTAAAAAAAATAAAAACAAAATCCCTAAAACTTATTCTTAAACTCACTTCAAGATTTGGAGGCTCCAACATTTCACTACCCTCACACAAACCCTCCGTGTTGGCTACCAACTTCGTACCAATTAAAAGATGGAATAAAACTTAAGAGCAAGGAGCTATGGATGAATTATGCATTTCAACAGAGAGAATTATGACTTGCTCCCTGCTCCTCAGATCACAAGATCTTTTTTTTTTTGAGTTTTCATTTCTATCTGGATCCAAGCCACAGGTTGGATCCAAGTCATTCAGGAACCATTAGATATCCAAAGGCCCAGAATCAAACCCCAAATCAGGCATAAAAGCAGTAAGAAAACATTTTTTTTTTAAAAAAAATCAATTGATCAGGTGGTTTGAACATTACAATAAATCACAAATTCCACAGGTGTGCAACCTCATTTTTTTTACCTTTTTATTAGACAGAGGGTATCCTTAAAATGCCATAACAAGTCACAGTGATTATGGATGATTTTACTGAAATGTAAATATAGTGAGGAGTTGGGGAAGGAGTAATGTGTTTTGCCTTTTTTTTTAAATACCCTGGTCCACGAAACCATCTTTATCTTTTCAAGATGCTTTAAAAAAAAAGAAAGGATGCTATCTCTTCTCTCCTTTCAAAGCAGGAGGAGTGATGTTGACATGTGTCCATTATTCCTGGAAACAAAAGGATTTGCCCATCGATGGTGTTCATATTTTTATACATATGTAGCTATATGCAGGTAGATATATATATATAAATATATATATATATTTTCTATTTCTTTTTCTTTTTCCTCTATGCAAAGTCTTAATAAAAGAGATCAGCCATTAAAAAAAGGAACTATGAAGAAGCAACACATCAAAAAATAAAATAAAATAATGGAAGTTTTTTTTAAAAAAAAAAACGGTCGTGACGACTGGGGTGGTTGAAAGGAAAAGTCAATGTCTTAAGAACTTTATTACAGTCTTATTTCACTGATTACATGTCAAAAGAAAAAAAAATCACTGTGAAGGACAGTTTATTGATTTATTTATTTTTCTCTCTGATTAGGGAAAATTCAAGTGCAGAAGCAGCCCTTATGGGTTTTTCTACTCCCCACCCCACCCCACGCCCTCCCTCCCATGACCAAGTTTCTTGAGAGAAATCAAAACAGGAAAAAAAAAAAACTGGGGAAGGGACAGGTGGAGGGAGGAAAGGTTATCTCTGCCTCTCCCGCAGCCCTCTCTCTCTTGCGCCATCTTCTCGCTGGAGGGTCAGGGCCTCCAACCCTCTCTCACTCCTAAATTCTCTGCCACGGGGCACAGTTGGAATGTATGGAGTTTTATCCAGTTGTTTTGCAGCTGATTCTACGCCAGCTTCAAGGTGCTTACGGGAAAAGGGGGCATGGTAACCATGGTGACGGGGTTCAAGACCGTTTGGCCCACCAGCTGTTGGTGGTGGATAACTTGAGTTCCAACGCCGGGCTTCGCCATGACCGCTGGCTGGCCAAGGCTGGCAGTTCCATTCACTTGCTGGTGAGAGATGGCGTGCGCAATGTGGCCCACCACGGGCTGGCTGACCGCCACGGGCTGCGGGTACAGGGGGAGCTGCTGACCCAGGTGGGTTACGTGGTTGAGGGCGGCCGGGTGCACAGTGATGTGGCCGATGGGCTGAGCCGTGGTCGTCAGCTGGACTGGGCTGGAGGTGGACGAGGGTGCGAGGTGGGCAATGTGCTTGGGCTGGGGGCCCGGGAGGACATGGTTGACAGTCTGAATGACGGAGGCGTGGGTAGTGGCCGTGTGGGCGATAACAGTCGATTGCACAGTGGAAGCCGCCACGAGGTGAGTCTGTGCAGGGACAATCGCTTGGGGCTGAACCAGGGCCTGGGGCTGGAGGGGGGGTGGGGCATGGGGTGGGACGTGCTTCTGGGCCAGCGGCAGAACCGATGGGCGATGGGCAGCAGCGATGGGGGCCACTGCTTTCAAGAGCTCGGGATGCTGGCGGTGCGTGAGCTTCGGCAACGAATTGACAGGGCTGTTGTCTTCCATGTCCTCATCCATATTGTCTTCTCCTTCTGCGGGGAGATAAAACAAAGGCAGATGTCAAATTCTGGGCGAGGGAAAAGGTGGGAACCCGCAGGAGGCCAAATCAGGTCATCTGACCACTGAAATCGCTATTTCCGATGCCACATGTTGTAAACTGCCCAGAGTCACTTTGATGCGATGGGTAGAAATTTAATAGAGATAGATAGATAGATAGATAGATGATAGATAGATAGACGATAGATGACAGGTATAGATAGATGTAAATAGCTGATAGAGATAGATGATATATAGATAGATATAGATACATTAGATAGAGAAATAGAGATAGATGTTAATGATATATAGATGATACCATAGGTGGATGGATGGATGATGGATGGATGAACAGCAAAACTTACATACCACTTTACAGTGCTTTACAGCCCTCTCTAAAAGGTTTTACATCTTGACCCCAACAATCTGGGTCCTCATTTTAACCCACCTCGGAAGGCTGAGTCAACCTTGAGCCAGTGAGGATCGAACCCCTGGCAGTCTGCAGAATTAGACTACAATACTGCATTCTAACCACTGTGCCACCAGAGCTCTTAGATAGAGATGACAGATAGATGATAGGTAATGCAATGCAGTTCATGCAGTAGTAGTGTTACTTAGAGTAACAGAACATCTTTTTATGTAATTAATTTATATGCCATTCATCTCACCACTGAAATGATTTCTCCAGCACATACAAGTTTTATTTGCAGTGCACATTTCCTTCCTTCCTCCTTCCTTCCTTCCTTCCTTCCTTCCTTCCTTCTCCTTTCGTCCTGCTTTCTCTCTTTCTTTCCTCTTTCTTTTCCTTCCTTTTCCTTTCCCTTTTATATTTTGTTTATTTTTTATTTTTAATCTTGCCACAAAATGGAATCGTGTTGTGAAATGGCACCAAAACATTCCAACATACCTGAAGCAGTTGAAGTGGATGCCTGATCATCTTCTGGTTGAACTGTCTGGCGGATTATCCGGTCAATTTCCAAGACATCCATCCACTGACTCAACTCATTCTTCAGCTCTGCCAAACGTTGCTGCGTGGCAATTTTCTCTCTCGCCAGCCGCTCCATCTCATGCTCATACTCTTTCTCTTTGCGTTTCAAGGTCTGCAAAGAAAAGCACAAGGTGAAATCAGAAGAAAGGAGGTTCCAAAGGGAGATGGGGAGATTTTTTTTTCTTCCTTGGACAAAAGAAGCATTCCAGGGGTCTCCAACCTGGGCAACTTGTGGACTTCAATTCCCAGAATTCCTCACCCGGCTTTGTTGGCTAAGGAATTCTGGCAGTTGAAGTTCACAAGTCTTAAAAGTTGCCCAGATTGGAGATCCCTGAAGCATTCCACAGAAACAGAGCTCTGGAAGAAAAATCTCATCGCTTGAACTTTGCTCGACCATGCAAATTACAGGAAATCCTCATTTTCTTAGCACGCCCAGATAAGGGAGAAGCTGAGCTACAAAATTTTGTATATCACACTTGCAAGAATGTAGGCCATTAGCTGTCCTCTTCAACAAAGGCCGGGTTTTTCATGGACCTTTAGAAAAATAGCGTGTTTTAAAGATTTTTAGAAGAAACTGTTCAAAAGGAACACGGAATGCCTCTTCAAAGAAGTTGCCACATGCTTTCTCAGGCATGGGCTGCTCCTAACATTTATGATTTCATTTCCCATCACCCTCAGCGACTGGGATCAATGGCTCACACAGGACAAAGCAATTTAAGGACCCAGGATTGGGATGATTTAAAGCAGCGGCATCTTCTCTGCGTTGAATGTGGTAATGCCTCTTTTATATTCCTGTTGCAGCAACTAAAGGGCACAGAGGAGGGTGAAATACTGTTTGTAATTATCTTAAGCAGAGGTCTCCAAACTTGGCAACTTTAAGACTTGTGGACTTCAAACTCCCAGAATTCCTCAGCCAGCCATTCTGGCTGGGGAATTCTGGCAGTTGAAGTCCACAAGTCTCAAAGTTGGCAAGGTTGGAGACCTCTGCTCTTAAGCAATGAGGGTGACCAGCAACAAATCCATCAAGATCACTTGCGACAGGCTGCGGCCTTGATCTCTGTGCCAAGCCAAGTGTCCCCTCTTAATAGCGAGCAGAAAGAATTACAGGTAGACCTCAACTCACAACAATTCACTTAGTGACCATTCAAAGTTCCAATGGCACTGAAAAAAGTGACTTATGGTCCCTTTTCACACTTTTGTATGACCTTTGTAGCATTCCCATGATCACGCGATCAAAATTCAAGCGCTTGGTAACTGGTTCATAATTATTATGACCGTTGCAGTGATCCAGGGTCATATAATCATCTTTTGAGACCTTCTGACAAGCAAAGTCAATGGGGGAGCAAGATTCACTTAACAACCATGTTGCTAATGTAACTCCTGCAGTGATTCACTTAACAATTGTGGCAAGAAAGGTCATAAAATGGGGGGAAATTCACTTAACCACCGCCTCGCTTAACAACAAATATTTGGATTCAATTCTGGCCGTAAATCAAGAACTACCTGTACACAAATCCCGAGGGAGGGGAGTATTTAAGAGATTTCCATTCTTCGGATCCACACTAGCTTTGGTGCACAAGGAAATCTGAATATCTATAGAGAATCCCAATCATCCAGGCCATGGTTGTCCCAAAGGTGTTTTTTTCAACAGGCAACTGGACTTCCTTTATTTTTCCTTGAGGATGTTTCTCTTCTCTCATCCAAGAAGCTTGTTCAGCTCTTTGCTCTCTGAAGAAGCTTCTTGAATGAGAAGCTAAACCGTCTTCAAAGAAAAACCAGAAAGTCCAGTTGCCTCTTGAAAAATGCACCTTTAGGAAATCTGACTTCCAATGCAATTTGTTTCTACTGGGAAGGAAGGAGAAGAATAAGGAATGAGCAAATGTAGGGCTGATTCAGGGTTTTCTTCACTGGAAACAATATCCATCATTTTCCCTAAGTGTGCATTTGTCCCTCTCTGAAGCCTGAGAGACGAAGGAATCAGTGGCTAAACCAACATTGGGAGAACGGTGTTTTAATGATCCAAGGAACCGGATGAATGAGCTTATGAGGTCATAGCTCCTCTACTCAAACATGATTCAGTTACGCTCTGCTCGTTCGATGGCCTGAAGGAACAACTGCGTGAAGCTGAATGGAGTGCAAGCATATTTATATAACACAACTGAGGGAGTTTTTAGATTCAGCTCTTTGAGTCCTACGATTCCACAGCTGGTCTGTCATCACTGAGGGGGTAAAAAAACCCATGGCTGCTTTAAAGAGGTGCAACTGTTGTGCCTCTGTGCCCCACATCCTTTGGGGGAGTTACATTTGCTGAGCCCACTAAAGCGGGGGTGGGGAACAATGGCCTTTTATGACTCGGGGACTTCAACTCCTAGAATTCCTGAGCCAGCCAGGAATTCTGGGAGTTGAAGTCCACAAGTCATAAAGGAGCCAAACTTCCCCATCTCTGCACTAGAGAGGTTTATCTTGCAACCTGAGAGTTTAAAAAAAAACAAAAACTAGCAAAGCAAAATGCTGCTCTTCCAAAGTTAAATGCAATCGCTGCTGAGCATTCCTGTCTAATTTAAGCTCTGAGAAGCCCCTTATGATAAAATAAAAATATTAAGGTTTTCTTTAAAAAAAAAACACAATTTAATGGAAAGGAAAGGGGATTTGGTTACAAAAATCTTGGCAATGGATAGGCTGATTTTAACATCTATCTGATTTCCAAGTTCATGAACAGGGAGCTTTTTCAATCCTCTTGACGCACCATTCTCCCAAAAACAAAAGAATGTGCCAATCTTACGTGTTTTTAATTCTTGACAAACTGCCATTCTCTGTCCCAAGCTCTGGAAAGGCCGTTTGGAGCTATACTAGCCATGCATTGAGGTCAACTTTACAAAACAGTCATTTAAGGAAAGTGAACATAAGTCTCACTTTCTTCCTTTTGTGCCAATTCTCTATACTGTACCTCAAAGCAAACTGAGGATGGAAAAACCACCTCAACATAATTCTCCTATCCTAAATGATCCAGTTGTGACTCAGATGAAGAAACTCCATGAGGTCTAGGACCTTGAAAAGAGGGAAGGTAGGAATGAGCTGAAGGAAGTGCTGTCTCGGCGGGCCTGATTCTCCCTTTGGTTTAGGGTCTGTGACAATTTGCCACAGCCAACTCGCAGGACAACTGTGAGAAGAAAGGCCGTAAAAAACAGGGCAAAACTCACTAAACGACTGTCATCACTTGAGACTCTCAAGAAGAGATTGGACTGCCATTTGTCAGAAATGGTGTAGGGTCTCCTGCTTGAGCAGCGGGGGTTAGACTAAATGACCTATAAGGCCCCTTCCAACTCTGATTATCCGTTATCTGCTCAGCAAGAGAATTCTGGGGCTCTATTGCTGTCGTAAGTCGAGGACTGCCCATAAATTGTTGAGACGAGTGAACTACATTGCATTTAGAAAGATTAAATATTATCGGTTTGTATTAAGCATCTCTTAATGAACACAATCCAGGCCTGAAAATGTCTCTAGAGACAGATTATAAGGTTTTGCAGGCCAGGTTAAAAACCGAGCATTTCCCAAAACACTTAAGAGAGTAAATCTCCCTCCCTCCCTCTCCCTCTGTGTGTGTGTGTGTGCTCACATGGCCAAATACATTCTTGTGATTTATGAGTTTGTATTTTGGGAGGTGGGTGGGGGGAGGAGCAGCTTCCTTCCTTTGGTAGTTCGGCCTATTTCACTCCTTTCAGGCATGGCTGGACACCCCCCTCCCTCGCAACTACCTCACCCCACCCGGGCTGCTAATTTCGGCTGACGTCTATGCGTCTTGTTTTCAGAACAGCCTTATCTGAAGGGTGCAGCAGAGAAGGTGGCTGGTTCTGATTTTACCCCAAACAGAAAGGAGCTAAGGGGGGGGAGGGGGATGAAGGCAGGGAGGAGGAAACACAACGTATATCAGCCTCGGCGTAAGATCCACTTAACGCACAAAGGGATGTTCTGAGGGCAAGTTTGTAGAGAAAGGTCTTTTGACTGAATTAGACTGTCAGTCCTTAAACCAGGGGTCCCCAAACCTGGCAACTGTAAGACTTGTGGAATTCTGGGAGTTGAAGTCTACAAGTCTTAAAGTTGCCAAATTTGGAGGCCTCTGCCTTAAACCATCCTCCAGCGGATCTTTGGGGTTGAAAAAGGGAGCTTCTCAGAAAGGGCTCAGAAATGGGCCCTTTGATTTGAAAAGGGTTGCTTTTATCGCTGCAGCTCTTTCTGTGACCTAATGGGTGGCTACAAGTTTAGGAAAGGCAGGTGTTGATTCACCAAACCATTCAAAATTAATTGCAGACTGTGAAACTTTTTCTGTGAGTCTGTGAACTTTTCTCCATGCTATCACTTTCCCTGCATTGAACTCCGTTAAATTGGCAGTTCGGCCTGGCGGGACGGACGGGGACACGGCTTTCGAGAGGATTGCAGGTGAAAAATGTATATTGTGTGTGCACGAGTGTATATTGAAAAGTGTATATTGTGTGTACTGCTTGTGCCGAAGAGGCCACAGAGAAGCAAAGTATATTACAACGTAATTATTGTCTTGAGAAAAAAGGGAAACGAGTAAGCTTAAAAAGTTCTGCTCCTTGCAAATACGGGTAATCCTCGACTTACAACGGTACATGTAGTTGACCGTTCAACGTTACAACGGCACTGAAAAAAGTGACTTAGGGCCATTTTTCACACTTACAGCCTTTGTAGCAGCCCCGTGATCAAAATACAAATGCTTGGCAACTGAGTCATACTTATGACGGCTGCAGCGTTCTGGGGTCACCTTTTGCAACCTCCTGACAAGCAAAATCAACGGAGAAGCCAGATTCACTGAACAATCATGGTACTAACTGATCAACCACGCTGATTCACTTAACAACTGTGGCAAGAAAGGTCGTAAAATGAGGCAAAACTCACTTAACAAATGTCTCACTTAAGAACAGAAATGTTGGGCTTAATTGGGGTCGTAAGTCAAGGACCGCCTGTGTACACAGAATCTTTATAATAAAGTGCAGTCAATATGCAGAACAATTTGAAAAGTCACAAGAAAGAGAGAGAAGCTGTGAGGGAAAAGTCCTAGACATCAAGGGTCCCCAACTTGTGGGCCATGGC